TATGACAAGCTCTTTATTGTGAACTGTGATCTTAACAAAAAAAACAACCCCAAACAGGGCAGGGAATTTGTTTTAACTTTCTGTAAAGTCCCCTTTACATGTATATAATATATACGCAAATTTTAGGGATGGTGGTAAGACCCCCGGCCTGGATATGGGTTCAATTTAATTTTCATGTAGCCATTCCTTAATGGCCTGTTATAATGTTTCATCCTTCAAACATTTGGGTGTTTTTTTCTTTTAAATCTATCCTAAAATCTTCCTTGTTGAGAATTAAGTTGGTTTCTTTTATACTTCCACCCAATCGACCACCTGAATAACTGATCACTGTACTCCTTCCTGTACAACCCTTCATGCACTGGAAGACTTAATGCATTCCCACCTTACCTAGTCTCCTTGTCTAGTTTAAAGTTCATGCAGTTCAAGCTGTCTTCATACGTCATATTTTCTAAGCTTATCACTCGTGTAACTTCCCTCTCAACTTTCGCCAATCTGTCTTCATCTTCTGTGGAGTGTGGTGTCTAAAACTAGATGCCATACTCCAGCTGAGGCATGCCACTACCACGGAGAGCCACTATCACCACCACCACCACCACCACCAAGTAAATTACCTATCTTGGGCACCTCACTTACGTTAATACATCTAGCAATAATATTGGTTTTTGCAGCAGCACACTGTTGACTTGCATTCAGCCAGTAATTTTCTATAATACTTAGGTCTTTATCTCCTGAGTATAATAAAACGCATGCATAAGTGTATACCAGTGCAGGACTTGACTCAGTAAACTTGGTGACAGCACCCATCTCTTACTGTGTGATTACACGGTATCAAGCACAAAGGGCCCCTGACATAGATTGGAGCCTCTGGGCACAATAAAGTTCTCTCATATGTTAAAAAAGGCAATACTGCTATTTATCTGTTCTACAGTGTGCTGTGACAATTAACTTGTCCTTAAAAGTACCAGTTTTCAAGCAAAGCAAACTACAGAGAGGTAAAGAGGAGACCAAGATACAGATGTGACAGCAGGAAGTAAAGAAGAACAGCAGAAAAGCAAGGGGAAGATCAAAGGTATTAATGTGAAAAGAGAAAATAAGTGAAAGTTGTGATGCTTTTCAACCAAAAGGTGATGGAAAAGTAAAATGAGACAGAGATGGAAGGAGTTTAAGGAAGGATTAAAAAAATATGTGAAAAGTAGAGTAAAAAAGCATGTGCTGCTCTTTTAGCTCTTCTGTTGTACTAACCAGAGTATAAGGGACAGTTATTTGACCCACCTATGGCTCTGACTATGTTGGATTCTATAGTTAAATAGCTGTAGGAAGAAAAAAAAAGCCTGTCAAAATCCATACAAATCAGAATGACAAAGGCATGCCCTGGACCGTGGTGAGCTCAGTAGATTCAAACTGATCAACCTGATGGTCCTCAAAGGCTTGATCACTCCTAAACGTCAAGGTGGATGCAATACATAAATATAAGATGTCTCTGCCAAGCCTCTGCTTTGATACAATACATTCAAATCCAAGCTTCAAAAAGCAACACCCGCAAAGAAGCAGTCACTACTACTGAGGAGAGGCTGTTTGCAAACTTTAACTCTATTTAAACATGCAATGAGAACCATCTTAACAAAAGTACAAACATTCGGGTAACGTAAAGAAAGTAGGAGATTTTTGATAAGTCTGTCTGCTTTACTACCATAGTATCTCCTCTATGTGAGGCCAGTGCCAACTCAATCCTGGAGGGTCAACACATTTGCACATGACAAGGGTTGCTGACAGCCCAATCATGACACCAAACAAAATTTCACCAGTGTCAAGAAGCACCATGTCCAAGGGGGACACAACCAAGCCAAACTCTATTGCCTTGAGGTGTGGATCAGAGTCATATTAACAATAGACCACAGACAGCTGCAGAATGGAAAGGAGTGGGAGGAATGGGAGAGACAGCAATATCAAGCAATACTCAGAACCTAATTTCTTGTTGAGAGATGCACTGTCCAGTAAGGCAGCAGACTGGATTCAGGTGGTGAGACTTGCCAGAAGAAAAGGGGCAGAAGACTTAGACTGCTGGAAGGACAGAACTAAAACCTCTCTTTGGAAAGGGAACTGTGGGGGCGGGGTTCTTACACACATGCATTTTCCCATAGATCTGTACATCTGTTGTGCTTTGTCTATGATGAAAGTGTGATCGTTTTAGAGATTCCTTGGCAAGGTCTGTGAACCACTTCTTTCTCTGTCAGAATCTAAAAGGGGAAAATGTTAACCCAGAGGTAAAAAGCTTCAGTAAAGAGCATGCAATTTGGTGTGGGAAGGCATGGAAGGGCGAGTACTACTCTTAGACTCTAGGCAGTTGGGCCGATACAGAGAATTTCTTATTTCAACACAGATGCAGCACAAATTAGATGAACCTGCCTAGAAGCCCAGAATGAGATGGTCACTGGATTGTCTAGAGGCAGTGAGCCAAAGACCAGGTAGATCCAAGGTTTGCATCTCAACAACTTCATGGACATCCACAAAAGGGAGCTCATCTACAGCTACGTCTAACAGGTCCACTTCACAGCCTTCAAAATGGACTGATTTTAGAAAATAACAGTAACACTGAGTTTAAGGTCTAAGACTCTCCTCCAAGGAAGAAATGTCACATTTGAGGCTGATATTCTGAACTTGTAGATATGTCACACTAACCTCAGAATTCAACAGCAGGGTCACCTTAGACATTTCCTGACTTTATTACATGTAGAACAATAAAATCTTCCAATTTATTAGAGACTGCAGTCCTTTGCAATAGCAAAAGGGTGCTTTTTTTCTTGTTTTTTTTAAATTAAAAAAATTAGGAAGTTGCATACTTTCTCTGAAATGCCATCTCATCATTGCTGTTTACTATTTAAATATGTATAAAAAATTCTAGTATTTTTGCTAACTTCTGAAAAATTCATTCAGCAACATCAAACTAAGCCTATTCGCAATATAATGTGTTGCCATGGGAATAATTCTGATGTCTCACACTCCAGACAGTGACGTCACTACATGAGACCACGAGAAAACAGTACACAAAAAATGGTAAGATGTGGTCACAGACAGGTATCTTCACGCATACAAACATGGGAATGAAAAAAAAGAAAATACAAGAATTTAGTGACATTCTGAATGTCAACTTTATTGCACGTAGCTCTTGAACCACTATCACCAAAAAAGAAAGAAATCTTTAAACTACTGATACATGAAAAGAAAAGGAGAAGATACACCAGATCAATAGCAAATAAATAAATAAATCACATGCTCACTGCATTTCATTTGTAACTTATGATTTTTGATTCTGACCAGAGAAGCAACAAGGAATAAGCCATCATACAGACCAGCACAGTCACACCGACAGATCCACATTCAACTTGAAGGGACAGACCATTTAAATGATTTTTAAGAGGTTAAGGACTTAGAACAGCAGCTTCCAGCATGACTGTTTTGCACATGACTTCCCTGGTTTTGCTACATCTCTTGCCCTCAAACACTGTATACACACATACCCAGACTGCACTTTGAGGCTTTGTTTTTTTCTGTAAATTAATTAAATTAAAAATTAGCTGTATTTACCTCCTTGCACAGATCCACAGAAAATTCTGTCTTCAAAGAGATGTGTATAAACCATAAGCTTTCAGAATACATTATAAAATTATCCTTTGCCAGGCATGATTCATGATAGTTTTTCTTTCACATATGCAAGTTTATAGTAGATTATTAAAAAGGACTCGGTTTACAAATATATCCACATTTAATCACCCTGGACATATCTGATATCTCTAACATCTTTCCGATTGTTTTACTTCTATTGATGGATGCCTATTATCATCAACATGCCAGCATCTTATTTTCACCTAGGTTGTACTATTAATTACAATCCAGCCATGAGGGACATAAAATAGCCAAGAACAAAATTCTCAGCATAACTGCAAGCAGGACACTGATGCATTTTACATACTCTGCCAAATAAATGTAAGCTATTACTTATACTTAATCCCATTTAGACAATCAGGAGTCATGCTGAAGTAAGATTTTAATTTCTAAATGCAGCAACTTAAGCTGTCTTTGTATCTTACCACTTATCTGAAAGATTGCTTTGCAGCATTTAACACAAGGCTTGCCTGGACTATAAATACCTTAAACATGAATGTTTAACTATTTACATTTGGGGGGGGGTATTCATATGAAACAGGAAGAAAATTTGAATTTACTGATGTAATAGGCTGTTTGTAAGAGCCCTTATACATTAAATGTTTTCAAAAGTGTACTTCAATTTTTACAATTCACTATTATGGCACATTTCAAGTAAAACTACGTTACCCATGAGGGCTGATTTCCTTTGGTGAGAAGTCGTACCAGGCTACTATAAATCCATTTAATTTGGCCATTTTAAAGTCATAATTTGCACAGAATTTTAAACCTTCATTGATTATATGCAAATGTTAAACAGCTAGTTAATTTGTTTGTTTTTTTTTACTGGCTTCATCACAGTACACTCAGTACTCCATACAAGCCAACAACAGATAGCCAAGAAATGTATATATGCATATACAGATGCTTCCTTGTCCCACACACACACAAAATATGCACACTTTTCAAGGTAACTTATGCCTTTGTTTCTTTGGTGTTAAACTGTGATTTTGTTTAAAAGCATAATTACAATGTTGCCACATGAATGAAAGTAAGTAATTAAAAAAAGAATTAAAAAAAAAAAAAATCAGTAATTTTATTGCCCATTTACCTGGACCTCATTTGTCCTCTGTTTGATGGCATCTTCTTTCTCCTTGAGGTCCTGTTCCACGTTATTCTTTTCCCTAGAAGACCAGCAAACAATGCAAGAATACTTAAGAACATCGGCTACAGCAGGTACAGTTATCCAGCCCCCTAATCCTGTATCTCTTTTTAGATACATAGCAAAACATTAAATTTAGGGGGGAGGAACAAACAAAAAACTGTAGGGCAACTCTGTTTCTTAAATTATTTACAAAGAAGGAATCTACATATATGCCCCGTGTAAAAAATGCCTTCTCACTGAAGTGTGCTTAGGTGAAAAGAATAGCTCAAAAATGGAAGAGGAAGAAAAAAAAAAAAATCAATGAAATACTGTCTTCAGTGATCTCACTGTTGCTATGGAGCAATTGTCTAATGAAAACTGCTGGGAAAAGTGGGAGGGATTGCATCAGCTTCCATTCGTTAACCCTTGCAAACATGAACAAGATGCTAGCAGCCAGAACACATTTCCTTGTACGAGGAAACGGTTACAGATAACAGGTTTATCTGTATTAAACAGATTTTAGGGACACTTACTGGTAAATTTAGAGTCAAAGCAAAATACATTAAGCAACATGTTTGCTGCAATTCCCTTAACAGTTATTTGTTGCGTCATATCAAGTCGGTTGTTAGAGAAATATATTCCAATTTTTAAAATGGCAATTACAGACAACTGAGCATTTATCACCAAGAAATCTCAGCTATTATTGGTATTAGTAGTTAAAATAAGCAAAACAAAAGGTTTCCTTTTTAAACGTATATGCAAGTATTTGTAAAAGAACAATTCTCCCGGTCTTTGTGGCTGCTTGAAAACATCCCAAGCTTAACAAAGCTATTATTGTTCAATCTGAACAAGTGAAAGTATTTCCTAGAAAGATAAATTAGTGCTTTTTTATCACTGTTACATTCAGAACACATGCAACTCTTTCAAGACTAAAACAAAGGCTGAGTTGATAAATCTAATGTTCCTCCCCACCCCCAAGTTGGACTTTCAGACTTTTTCAAATCAAGTCTTAACAGTAGTTTCAGGGGTGTTAGTTATAGCCATGTTGGTCCAAGGACATAGGCACACACTGTTCTTTGGGTAAATGTGGTATCTTTTATTTGACCAACCAAATAGTTGGAAAAAATGTTCTTTGCAAGCTTTTGGGCTTTTGTGCCTGAAAGCTTGCAAAAAACAATTGTTCCAACTACTTGGTTGGTCTAATAAAAGGTATCACATTTTCCCAAAGAACCTTGTCTTCATAGAAATTTAACATTTTCATATCAACAGAGAGATAATCAATAGAGTTCTTTATTATTTATCCTTATATAATAATAAAAATACATGTAACCCCTGCTTAGCACTGTTAATTGCTTCTGGAAAAACCAAGCATTAAGCGGAAAGGCATTAAGTGAAACCCATTTCCCCATAGGATTGAATGTAAATGCACACAAGCCTCCATGGCTAACCAAAAGCATCCGGGATTGTCTCCTTGCTAAAAAGGAGGCGTACACCCAATGGAAAGAAGGGGTCATCACCAGGGATGACTATTCTGCAGTTGCTCGGGGATGCAGGGGGGTAGTTAGGAAGGCCAAGGCAGAGATGGAACTGGGACTA